AAAGTGGCCTAACATCCCAGTGGGCTGCCTGAGTTGGCCCACATTGGCGCTAGAGCGGCAGCCAATATTTGTCGTGACTCAGGATGCGACATCTATCTCAGTTATTTGAAAAAATAAACATCCCACAGAATAAGCGAGATGGCAGGCATGTAGCCACCATCATCAAAGAGCTTCCCACAGTTGATGTGAGATGGCGACTTTGTACCCGCCGTTTCAGTGGGATCAGAGAGTGATTAAATAAAGACCCCAGTCCTTTTTTTTTACAGTACTTGATCCATTTCCATAGAGAACGTAAAGGAACTCAGGTAACACATCCATGTGGAAACAACATTGAAACAATGTTTCATGGCAGCATTTATAATGTTGAAACAACATTGAGGTGCCAAAGGTGCCCCACCCCTAGGAAACTAAGGTTTGAAGTTCAGGGTTACTAGACTGCCCATTGCAACGTTGCTTGCAAAATCATTTTTTAACGATTTTTTTGGGGGAAAAAATAATTTATTTAATCTAATCAAGAAGTCGGACATGCGACAGAATACGCGATTGAATGCGAGCATGGTTCGTAGAATGCCTCTCTCCCGTTGTAATGCTAGGGATGACATGGAAAGGAATAGGGACAGTCTGGAGTTTCGTGGCGTAGTGATAACACGTTTGCTTCGTACTCAGGAAGTCTAGCATCATTTTGTTTTTAGTCTTCTTATGCTACCCGAACTCTTCCCCCACCCGCCTCGGGCTATTACGTTCTCGAGAATGGATCCGACAGTCGCAAGGTCCGGAAAGAAAGTGCTCCTCCGCGAGACGTACACCCGAGGCAGGCAGAAAGCGACGCACATGCGCACATGGACTTGCGGACATGCACTCAGACCCAAGCATCAGAGACTTCATATGCATATGACTTCATTGTGTTTTTAATATATAGGACTAGCTGAAGTACCCGGCGTTGCCCGGGGAAATTCAATATTTCATGCATGACAAATTGGGAACGTAAGCCTTATGGTCTCCTATAAGTTACCGATCTTGGGTGTCGCAAAATGCGCTCGGACCCATTTCCCTTTTAAAATTTTTTTTTGCACGCTTTGAATAATTTCTAAATTATTTTTAAGGGGAAAAAACTTCTTGGTAAAATGCTTTTATCGTTTTGAAACATATTTTCGATGAAAACTTGATCAAAAGAATATTACTTACTACCTACTGTAGTGATCCAGAAATGGGATTATCCCGGGATACTGTAATGCAGGTGGCTGGGAGGGGAGAGTTGGATGACATGAGAGAACAAAAAATATGCTGGGGACGGCCGGGAATCGAACCCGGGCCCCCTGATCGTCGGTCAGGTATGCTACCACTGCACCACCGAATCCAGGAGTCAATCCCTCCTCACAATGCCATCTCAGACAATACAGCCCCCCGGAAAAGTACCCCGGGAGTGAACATTTTGGATGGAAACATAGCCCTCGACCTTCCCTGGATGAAAGAGGAGGCCATGCAAAGTTTGGTTGCACTGGCTCCAAGGGGTCCGAATGCATAAAGGAACAGACAGACAGACAAACTTTCTTCTTTATATATATAGAGATGGGTCACACCGATCAAGCCTCACAAAAGCACTTTCGTTCATTAGTAAGGTAAATGCCTAGATATGAACATGTCCAAGTCAATCGATTAATTGGCTTTAAAAGTATATACATATATGATTTTTATTGAATCTCCTTTTTCTAATTTTACGTTTGTATTGAGACAATTCCACCATGTGAGATGCTCGGGAGAATTTCTTTTTCTTTTTGCTTGTTTGCTGCGATAGACCTTAGGCCAGGCGTAATTTCAGCCACCCTCATATCTGCCCTAAATCAAGAAATTTTCGGTGATAGTAATGTATTCTGGGCGATTGGCTAAACTACTCAACGAACCATGATGAAGTACACACAAAAAATCCAAACGATAGATAAAAAAAACAAGGGATTTTTTTTTTACCGTGAAAGAATCCATTGAATCGAGGTTGATTTAATGTTGACACTTCCACCGTGAATAGTGCAGCATTGATTCAATGTTGAGTCAATGTAGGTGTATAAACAGTGATGGTCACCGCGTTGAGTCAATGTTGATTCACCATAGAAGTATAAACCTTCAACAGTGAAACATTCGATCCACACCAAATCAACGTTGAATCAATGTTATGTGCTACCTGGGTGAACGCTATCTTCCTTTAACCATTGTCTAACCGATGTCTAACAGAAGCTGAAAAAGGTGTCGTTTCCAGACAAGGGATGGGGCATGTTTTGCCGAAATTTATGCCAGCGTTCGTGTACCATCTTGACGAGTATAGTGCTGCAGTGTACTGGTGAGGCACAATGGATTCTGTTTATGGATCCGCTCGATAACGGAGATGTGCTCTCGTCGTCGCATGGGAGGAATAAACATAGGTTCTGGGCTTAATCCCTTTGAAGAATATGTTGATTAGAACTTCCGCGTGAGATACCAATTTGGAAAGGGATCAGGGTATGATGTCGACCTGCTTCGCGCTGAACTCGAAAGGAACGAAGATCGTGGAAGGGATCCCTTAACTTTACATCGACAGATAAGAGCAATCACTGTTCGTGTGCAATGAATCGTGATTTGTTCAAGTACCCATCCCCTGAGTAATTAATTAATATGACTCGAAAGTAAAGAGAGTATCATGAAAGCCTTTCGATTTGCATGTTGTGCTGACCCTTCGATTTTATGTG